GTCTCAGCTTACTCTTTCAACGTAGTGAACTGTATTGCTCACTGAGCCTAACTAAGCAGATCCTTAAACAGCAGGGCTATGGAAGGATAACGTGTTTTGCCAAGTTCAGCAGGTTCAGCTGAATGGAAACACATGGTAGAGATTAAAATCTGACAAAAGGATCTGGTGCTGGAGATCATCCAGCATCACTGCCTGGCTGCTGCTGTTTCGAATCACAGTAAATTGTGCAGGTACTCCGTAAATTTTGCAACCTGCCTTTCCCTTCTTTTTATAACTTCCTGTAGGTTGTCTCAGTTGCAACTGAGATATTTTGATAATGGACTGATGTGGAAGAAATAAATAAAAATAATAATTCACAGCAAAGCTGGTTTCCTTTGCCTCCAGTGAGCTTTCAGATTGGATTTGTGTTATCCTGGAGACTCTCTTCAGGAGGTCTTACACCTCCAGAGCTGGCAACGGGGTGACTTGCAGAAGGAAGAAAACTCTCCTCCTGCAAGGAGGGGATCCTTAGGTGTGCTGGTGTGGAGCAAGCTGCTTCGCTGATAGAAAAGGAGCGTTTCTGTCGGTTCTTTTTCCTGGACGTGAAGTGGAGAGAGATACAGTTCTGCAGCAGGTGTTCAGATGGGCGTGCATTAAGTGGACGATCTCTCCAACACAATGCACGTTTCCAAGGAATTTCAGGGCACATCTCCTTCCTGCAATCTGATTGGTTACATTGTTAGTGTGACGGGACAATATATTTGTGGAGTGTTTATGCAGTGCTAGGTAGAGAAAAGATGGGAATCTGGAAAAGAGACGCTTTGCTCAGTCTGGCATTGTGGCAGCACTGGAAATTATAAATCAGGTAACAGGATTTTTCTGTCTGGATCAGGCTCTGGTTGTCTTCAATATGTTCAGGAAATCACTTTACATCTCTTCTTCCATTTCCTTGGCTGTCAAATGAACATGATGATAACTACATCCTCTGAGTGCTCGTGCTTCATTAGAGCAATAAAACATTTTGGAGGAAGGAGTCATAGATGTGTGATTTATTAATCCAGCAAGGTCAGGCTGAACTGTCTGTAAACAGCTAAAGAAATTGTGGAATGAAGGAAAGGTCTCCTGGAGCCGAGCAGATGCCGATGCTCGGCACGCTGCCGGCACGCAGGGTTGCCAGAGAAGGTGAAGCAGATCTTTCCAGCCCTGTCCAAACAGGGGGCAGCTAAAAACAAAGTATTTTTGTTTCTTGCCTGCCACGTATTACCTTGCTGTGGTGAGTCCTTCGAGCGTTCAGTGCACAGAGGTTTTGCTTTTCAGTTCTTCTGCGTGGATGTTTTATTAAGATGCTCTGCATGGCTCTTCCTCTACGTACGACTCGTTGTGACATGATTTTATACTTGCACACAATAAAATGAAACGAGTCATGGAGATAAGATACTGAGATAAACAGATGAGCCATGTTTATAAACCATAAGAGTCTCCTAAATTTGATAACCATCAGTTCTAGCCAATATACCCCGTGGTGCTAAAGAAAGAAGAAATCAATATTGCAGAAGCTTTTATGGAAAATTTATGAGCACACTTTGTTCAGGAGCAATCCATGAAGACTGAAGCATAGCTAGCACTATGCACTCACTTATGAAAGGGCTTACAGAGAGGTCCCTTGTTGAATTCACAAACTGTTTCAGGGAATTAAATTGGGGAATATGGAAATGGGCTTTTAAATTTTTATTATTATTTTTCGTTTATCCGTGTATACCCAGAAGAAAGTGCTGTAATAAATTATCAAACTCCTTTGAGTAATGTGGCTGAATAGACAATAACAGTGAAGCAATGACCCTGCCAAAGTTATTAAGCATACCTGCTCAAGTTTCTATTTTATGGGATAAGAGGATTAGTATGGATTGGTTTTCTAACAGGAATTTCCCCCCTCCCAACTGCTTAAGATAGACTCCCACTGTATTTAAGTACTACTTTCCAATTCAGACAAGGCTGTGGCATAAATAGATACTAACACGCGTAAATCACGGTATTCTTTCAGCGAGCAATGTACTCCCTTACACCCTGTGCTTACACCTGCTGTGATTTGATCCCTGTTCCAGGTATTACTTACTGTTAACATTGGAAAGACAGTGTTGCCACGCTGACTGCTGGCAGGAGAGCATAACAGGCGTGCCCCTTATCCCTGGCCACGGCCACAGCATCCACGGATAGCTCCTGTAGGGGTGAAAGAGGGACCTTATCCCTTGTACAGCCGCAGAGGACCTACTCGTGGTCCTACTCACAGCTATGAATTAACATCTCAGAAAGTCAAGGAGAACATATAGGTAAGGGCAGTTGGTGGGAAGAGTTACCAGGCATTCAGAAATGGTTGTGAATTGCCAGCGAGTGGAAACAGGGACTGTGAAGGTGGTGGAGAGCAGAGTTAAACGAAGCAGCTGACTCTCGTTCTCCCCTGCTCATCATACGGTTTTTGATGTGACCGTTTCTGGTGGTGTTGAGGCAGATGGTTAAGTGCCAAATAGACTCTGTGCAAGTTAAATTCTGCCTCGTCTTGGGTGGGAATACAAGGTGAAACAAGGCTGCTGTTAGGCAGCTGAAAAAATTAACATTTAAAAAACAAGCAAGGAGAGCTGCAGGCTGCTGGGAGTGAGGTGGTGGTACCAAGAAGCAGCAGTCATCTCTTCAGCCTGGTGAGGCACAGCTGGGACGCAGTGCTCAGCGTAGGCGTTCGGGTCACAGCGGTGCTTTAGATCCCATTTGCTCTCTCCCTAAGAGTTACTTACTCAGATCATTACCTTCGTGCTGTGTTCTGCCTGTATCCTCTGGATTAGAGCGAACTACGATTTAAGTTCACAAGTAATCGAAACAAATCTCGTGGTTGAATGGAAAAGGGGCTGCTGCTGCTGCAGGTAAAGGTGAAGCTGTCGGCGGGTCGCTGCGGTGGTCAGTGGAGGCGGTCCCCAACACTGCCCGTGTAAACATGGGGGTTCCCCTGTGCATGGGGGAACTGCTGGGGGGAAAAGGGTTGTGACTGTGCAATTTGTACCTTCACTTTCCACTCTTTGCTTCCTACTTACACAAAAATGTATCTATCTTACATCTGTTCCTTCAGACAGTGGGATTCTTACTGAAATATTTGTGGGGCTGCGTGGATGGGAGACTTGTCTCTCTGTCTGTGTACTAAGACTTAGTTCTTATATCTACTTTAAAGGCTTTAATGAAAAGCATCGAGAATGAGGACAATCTTTGGTTGAACAGATCATCTTCTAAGTTACACCTGCGTTGCACCTTTCTGCCATACCGTGCCACAGTGTCTCCCTCATTTTTATTTTCTGCTGGTTGTGTATTGGAGCACAAACTCCACAACAGCACGGGAGAATTGGGTTTGGAGGGTGTCCTCGTAACACCACAGCCTGGGATCCTTGACCTGGTTCTCCGAGTAAGATCCCAGTAAGCGTCGTGGAAGCAGGGAATAGCTCAGGCTTTGGATGTGTGATGGCTTCGCTTCACTTAGAGTACTACTTCAAAATGATTTCTTATTCTTGAACATTAAGTAGCCTCAACAGTTTCAATTTGCAGCTCAGACAAAACAGGCTGGGTTTGCATCTTGAATATTGCTCAGCTGAAACATAAAAAAGCACCTCTGATTTAATCATTTTCATTAATTAAGAGTCAACGAAGAGAAGTTTGTCCAAAGTGCTTCATGTTTTTACATTTACCCTTTTCTCTTTGCTTTCTTTGGAGGGGTTGGTTCAAGATTCCATCAGTAATTGTGGGCATTAGTGCTGCTTTAGTAGTGCTCCCTGCAGATCACGTTTCAGGTCTTCTACCTGTGCCTCCCCACGGCCTGTGCAGCAGCACTGAGCGCTTCTGGGTCCCTTCCTGTGCTGCAGAGGGAGGGAGGCATTGGGCGGAAAACCAGCAACGGGAAAACAACACCAAAACTACGTGTAAACACGTATCTCCACTCATTGGCAGTAATTTCATGCCCTGAGGCAAGGTGATGGTGGCATGTCCTCACAGCAGGAGTCAGCTGGGCGCGATCAATATAGGCAAGAGGAACAGATACATACACAACAGATCCAGGAAAAGCGCGTGTTTACCAGTCATGATGGTGCCTGGTGTTGGGGATCTCTCCGGCACTTGGCAGGGGTGGCTGCTGCTTGTTGTACGGTGGGGACAGAGTAACGCTATCGGAGGTCTCCAGAGGGAGATGGGATCGCTCATGTAGCACAGTGTACCCAATGTAAAGGTGAAAGTAAAGCAGAGGATCTCCATGCTTTGTTTAAAAAGCCACAGGTATTCTTTGTGTACCTTGTTTCAAGTTGAAGCTGTGGTTTCCCAGAAATCCAGCTGTCTGGGGCTTGACCTTTCTGCATGGTTGTTTACGGAATTTGCTTGTGGTTTCTGTGCAGTCGCCTCCTGGTTTCCCTGCTGCGGCTGGGAGCGAGCACGGCAGCGTCTCCACCTCTGCCTCGGAGCAGTCTGATGCCAGACTGTGTGAGGGAATCGGTCACAAGCTGTAATTTAGACATTAATACTCTTTTCAGCAATAAAACCCAACACTCGGATCTCCCCCAGGGACTGTTCCAGCCCTTTCATATGAACACTTCTTTCTTCTAATCTCACTTTTAACCGTTTTCTTGCTAAGACATTGTTTTGGTGAATCATACCTATCAAAGCATGTTTTCCTCTTCCCTGTTCTCTCACTCCTGTTGTTGATGCTTTTTTCCTCCCTGTTACTCGTATTAAAATGTCTCTACTTCACTCTTGTTTTCCTTTAAATATTTGAATAATTAACAACAATACACACAGAGATATTTCTGTCGAGGTGAACTGTATTGGTAAGTGTTTGACGTGGTTTGCTGAGTAGGGAAGCGAGGGCAATGGGGAGCGACTTTATTCAGCAGCAGCTTTCCAGCACTTCCTTGGCTTCCTGTTTGCAAGGAGAGCTTTCAGACAGCCTTTCCGCTGTTCCTCTAATCTTTATATCCATGTTTTCCAAATCTATTCCACAGGTGCCAACAAAAAAGCTGAAGAAATATGAGAGAGAGTACCAAACAATGCGAGAGAGTCAGCTGCAGCAGGAAGATCCCATGGACAGATACAAGGTACGGGAGATGCTATATGGGAACCTGTTTCGTTGGCTGAACCCCACGGGGAGTGATGCGGGTCCAGCGTTAAGCAGAGGTGCGTGTACCACGCTCACCTCCCTGGGACGTGCCGATGCAGAGCGTAGGGAAGTTAAGTGGCAGGTGAAACTCATCCCCTTTCTTGAACAAGCACTTTGAACACTTGGGCGTAGCGTTTTTTCCAGGAATATTTCAATCACAATTTGTAACTCGCAAAGCATCTGCAAGTAGCCACATATAATATTTTTCTTCTTTCAGTTTATATGTTTGTAGGTAACTCTCCTGCTGTTGCACTTTTAATGGAGATCTTCATGAGACGCAGAAACAAAGGGTGATTCTCAGCTACAGACACAGAAAGGAGAAAATACACATTGTTCTAGCACAAGCTGTGTGCAGTGGCATCCACAGAGACTTTTGGAAGATGAACTCTTCCTTGACTGATACGATCCTTGTTATTCATCTCTGTTTATACCAAGCCTTTCATTTTTCGTTCATACAGTGCCTAGTGCGGTGGGACCCGGAGCTCTCCTGGGGTCCCATGGTACTACTGCGATAGAATGAATAGTAATAAATATCCTGCCTTAAAGCAACAGAGAAATAAAGGTTCAGTTATTAAAATGATAGCTTGATAGTTCACCAAAAAAGAATAGTTCTTTAATTTTGGATCAGCATTGCTTATCTTTCCAATGTATTTGCTTCTGTTGTCACTGCTACGTTCTGTTGCCATCGATTTTTGTGTGATGGAGGCTCTGCCTCGAGGCGTATACTTCGCTTAGTGTTCAGGTTCCATTTATTGCTTACCTTGTTCTGAAAAATCCAGTTTTCTTTAGGCGAAGCTGCCAGAGATGAAGCACCTTACTGCCCGTTGCCCTGGTTAGCTGGGAACTGACATTGCTGACATATACCTGTACTGTTTTCCTGCTGCTCTTCATTGTGCCTTAATACGTTAAGTGACGTCGCAGTTGGTACGGAGTCTGCCAGGAGTGTGGAGCAGTAAATAACCATACAGGGTGCAACAGGTTTACGTGGTCTGTGGATGTAAGGAAAGCACACCATGTTCAGGAAACCACAGTGTGAAAATCTGTAGTGAAATACTATGTCATAATTCACAAATGTGACAAGCCAGTTACAGGTACAGAGAAAGTAAAACTGACTTTTTTTAAAAAAGAAGTATTTACCTGTGAAGAATTATGTTTTGAGTGTAGTTCTTTTGATGTCAAAGGGTGTAGATTTTATTGTTTGTGAGAACTGGGACTGCTGAAGCAGCCAAGAGCCAGCAGTGAGTATGACCTATTTAGGAAAAAAGCACAGCTTGCTGCTGATTAACTTCTGACTAAGAATTTTTCCAGTGGTTCACTTATAGTCCTGTGGAATTAAAATAATACTTAGAAAACAAATAAGGCTTCTTTAAAGCTTTGTGGAGGCATATTAACTGGTTAATCTTGGGCGATGGACGGTGAAGAACATTATCCCTGAGCTGCAAATGAGGATACAGAAAGTGAGTCTCTGGCCTCTGTCTCTGTGAGTCCCTGTCGCTGAAGATGGCAGCCCGGGTTTTGGCTTGAGCGTTTGAAACTCACCGTGTGGTTTCTTTTCCTTAAGCCGGATTGGGTCTGATCCTCTGAGCGATGCTGTGATGATTGGAGAGAGTCCCCGTTAACTGGTTAGTTGCACATTAAGTTCAAAGTTCAGACGCGTTCTTCAGCTGATGGGTGTCATGGAGAAATGCTTGTAAGTGCTCTCTGCTCCTTGTCTTGTTTGATTTTATGAGTGTGTCAAGCTGAGGGTGGGAGGAATCGATGTTTCAAGAGGTTTCCAAAAGGCAGCAAGAAACACAAGCTGTGTGGGTCCGCGCAGGCAGAGCGCACAGAGCCGACTTTGCTTGTCCCACAAGTGATGGCTGCACAGCCCGTGTGTTTAGAAATGAGTTTCGTTTTGGCAGCATCAGTGCTTGGCTCTGCCCGGCCAGGCTTGGTTTGGGAAGAGACTGAGTCCACGCTGCCTCTGAGCTCCCTCTGGGCTCGTGCGCTCTCCGTGTAGGCTGGGCTCTACAGGCCTACAGCGTTGACATTCTTCAGTTTCTCTTCCCAGAACAAAACGAGGTTTTGGTTTACTGCCCAGGAAAGGGATGTTTCTTGGATGGGATCGCTGGAGTGGAGATCCCTCCGGAATATTCCTCTTACAGGTCAAGAAGGGAGCAGGCTTTCAGTCCATCAATAGTTTTTAGTTGTAGTTGGTAGAGGTTTTGTTGTTAGCAGTGCATTACAGTTTTTATTGCCAATAGAGATTTGCCAGGGCCACAGAGACACCGGCACTGTGGAGTTGCAGTGATGAAAGATGTCTTGATGTCACACCTGCCTGTGACCTGGCCCTCGGTGGACACGGCTTGAAGGACTGTTGAGAGAGTAGGAGATGGGCCACGTGCTGCGCTGGGGCGGGAGCAGCTGCTGCGATGGCAGCCATCTGCCCTGCCATCTCCTCCTCCTGCTCCGTCCCCGCTGCGCTGTGAGTGGCACGGAGGGCACTCGTGGGACCTGACGCGCCTCTCGAGTGCAGGTCTGACGTCCAGGGGGGACTAGCACCAAACCAGGGCAGGGTGAGGGTATGGCGTGCTCCTTCCTCTTCTCTCCAGCGCTCGAGTCCTAGAGGTGTCCCCAAGCATGGGAACGGTGGGGCTGAGCAGCCTTGTAGGAAACGCCGGGAAGGAGATGCTTCCTGCTTGAGGGCAGCTGAGTGTGTCAAGGCAGGGTGCTCCTCCAATCCCGCCCACCCCAAACTCTCCTGTCCAGCTCATATTTTTCATGTTGCTTGTGATTTGACTTACCAAAAGGACAGTATTAAAGAGCGCCAGTTGTTTTTGATGTTTGTTTCTGTCTATATTTACAAGTATTATTTAGGAAGTGTATTTTTTATGGACACATTTTCACTTTATTTTCCATTGCTTATAACAAATTATCGCTCGGCATTTTTGTCAGTTTTTTTTTTTAAAGGTGCAAAAGTAAATACGTTCTAAGTTGCTGTTTGTCGCCAAATTTCATGACTTTTGGTTATAATAAATTACAAATTGCCTATAGAAGTCAGGAAGAAAAGTGAGTTGCATGTGCAGAAAAAATAGCAATATGGTTCAGATTGATATTTTTCTATATATTATGGGTTTTTTTCCCTGTGTTTGAGAACACTTCATGTAACAGGGTTTTGGTTGACTTGATGAGAAATTACCAGAGTTGAGCTTGAGACTTCTTGGTTTAAAATCAAGAGGATATAACCCTACAAAGAAGGGCTGGAGTTTTGCAAGCAGACCCTGCTTGTGCACGCCGGTCTGTTCCGAGAGTAGAAACGCCTTTTCCTTTGTGGACCTTGTTGTGCAACGGAGTTGTCATCTGCCTGAATAAATACATCATTTGGACGTGACAGCCTTTTGTGTGTTTGAAGTGGAAGCAAAAATTAATCCACTGGTCATTTTTATTCAGAGTCACGGTAACTGAATGGTCACTGCTGTGAGGAAAAACAGAAGATGACTCTTGATGTGGGTCATTGGTTGGTTGTGGGTTTTAAAAAAAGTGTGCTGGGGCACTTTGGGGAATGCTTCTTGAGTCAGAGTCAACAAAAAAAACCCACACAAACCACCCCCAGGAGCCTCCGTGTTGTTTCCCCTGAGCGGTTTTCCTGGACAGTTTGCTGTGAAAGCCTTTTGGGTTTCCAGATGGCGGTTCGCAGGGTTTTCCTTCAGAGCCGCTCTGCAATCAAGAGCCCGTCCCGGTGGGCTTACCGAGGCTTCTGTTTGCTCACATCCAGAACAGTGAATTTGAGCCAGAGTTTTCGTTCCACCATTGAGGATCTGGTCCTGCCCAAAGATCTGGGGCTTGGGCGTTTGCTCATCAGAAGGTGTGACACTGAGTTGCTTAACGAGGTTTGTGACTCGGCGGCGGCACAGAGAGGACGCATCACCGCCACTGAGCTGGTCAGGAATTGCTCCCTGGTGCTGGCTGGAAGGGAGCAGAGGGTGAAGTTCAGGCTTTCAGCCATCCTGAGCTGAGGCTTGCCTACTGCTTCCAAATTTGCTGCTGTCTTTCCGTCCAGTGTGTGATGGAAGCTGGAGTATATCCTCTTTAAAACTCAGAACCAAAAACCCACTGAAGAATCAGCAACTTTTTGGGTTGGTTTTTTTTTTGACTGTCTTTGTTGGTATTAAAAATCATTTTATATCCTGTTTTTACTGTCCTTACATCAATGGTTGAAAGCAGTATTTGGTCTGTGACTTTACAGGAGGTAAGTTTATTTGTGTTTGTATGTATCAGCGGTGTTTGTCTCTGCATTTGGAAATGCAGTTATCCTCCTTTTAAAAGCGAACCAGAGTTCACCAGCTGCCTTTTGTAACAGGAAGGAGGAATCTGGGAAAGAGGAATCTTTTCTTTTACTGATTGTAGAGCAATGCCAAAGAGAAGGAAATTGTTGTCATAGTCAGTAAATTGTCAGCGGTGCGTAGAGAAAAGGCAGGAAGCTGTCTGTTTACACCGAGGACAACTAGCAGGTCTGACGAGTTGGCTTACAACAGGTTGCAAAATGCTGCCCGTGATGCGAGTCCTGCTGTAACGAACCAGCTCCATCTGTTGAACCTTACGCCATTGCGAATGGTATTTTTGTAAAACCCCATAAATATTTCAGAGCTGTTGAAAATAGATTGCTACGTATGAAAAGCACTGTTTGCTATTTTTTGTCTTTACCGTGTAACGTTAGGCTTTATTTAGACTTAAGCAGATTAAGAGTTTCCTCCTGAGGAAGGAGGCACTTTTTCACTGCTAGATCTGGGGGGAGGAGCTGGGAAAGAGAAACCATCTAATGGCACACACTGCCTGGTGTGGAGGAAGAGTAAAGGTGGCCCTGTAAGAGACTTTCAGCTGCCAATTAAAAGTGTGGTGAACGAGCTAAAAACATCTCTTAGCTATTGACTGGATGCCCAAGGTAAGAGATCTTTAACTTACTACCAAGGTGCCATGCAAATTGTAGTTTAAGAGGAGGATAGCGCATTTCCAACCACGGAGCTTGCTTACCCACTCGTCTGCGAATGCAAAGCAGGAACTCTGAACTTCACACCGTGCTGCTTGCTTTGCGGACACTGCAGCTTTTGGCAAAAGCATAGCAAAAATGTTAAAGCAAACTTCTCTCTGAGTTGTTTTGTGGAAGTCTTAAGAATTTGCTGATTTCTCTCTCTGAGCAACATCCCTATGAGCAGGTACTGGTGCTGCAGCACCTGCCTGGCAGCAATACTGGCCTGATCTGGTCCCAGTTTTTAGGTGAACTCAAGTCATTTTCTGACAGCTGCTGACTGGCAGAGCTGCGTCTGTAAAATTCGGTGTTTCTAAGATGGTCTAAACAAAATGCAGAAATAAGACATTATTATTGTTCAAGACAGCAATTTGGTTTTACACTTTGAAGTATATATTATCTGTACAGAAGGGTTTTACTTTTAAAAATTCATGGTCTCAAACAGAATACAATGCAATTAAAATAAAAAAGATCCCCAAAGTTCTGCGTCTTTTAGCAGTGGATATTTTAACTGTGTTAAAACAAAAGTATTTCTTTAGAGTTTCTGTAACAAAAGAAGTTATTTAAAGTACCATCTTTTGGAAAGGAAACTAACTTACTTTCCTGTACAGGGCAGCGCATAGTCTAGTTGCACAATAGGGTCACGTTAAGGAGAGGGTATTTGCAGAGGTTCTGCTTCCTGCCACAGAGGAAGCTCCCACACGAAGAGACCTTTTTTAGCATCCTCGTAGAGCTGTAGTTGTCCTCTTTTGTGTAAGACAAGCACGCAAAGTCTTCTTGCAACAGAAATGAAAACTGCAGTTCGACAGTGGTGAGTTTCAAAAGAAAAAACTATCTGAGCGTAGCTGGCGAGCAGGAGGAAGTGAAGACAGGTGAATAATGTGCTTATGCAAAGAAATGACATTTTGTAGGAGGGCGTTCACTAACAACTCTTGGAAATTTTTTGCTGTTTTAAGCGCTGGTATATATTCCCTTTACTGTTTTTTCTTGGAGAACATAACTTACCTTTCAAGTGAGCACAGGTTCTTTTTGAAATCTCAGCATGTTACGCTGTTGTTCCTCCACCTGTGAGTTTCCACGTGAAGTTGGTATTTTTGCTTGAGCTTCCATAGCGCACAGATTCCCGTTGCAGTCTGGTTTGGTATGAAAGATTCAGTTATTGTGTGACTGAAGGCCAGCACATTTTTTTCTCTCTTAAAGTCCATTTGAGGAGGGCACCTCTATCTGTCTCACCTGGCTGTGTTCTTCCAAAGACGAAGATGTGTATTTGATGTGGCCTCCTGGAAGTCCACTGACCCACAGACATCTTTTGAATATGATTCTGTCTCTCAGCCCTAGAAGAACAGTCGCTGAAACTGATTTTTAAAAACCACAAATTACTACTGTTCGTTCTCCTCCAGTGTACTTACCTTCTCTAGTTAGTGGTCTACGTAGTAGTTTGTGCCTGTGCGGAGCGGGTAGGGAGCAGAGTGCAGGGGAGGACCAGGGCCTGCAGTCTCCAAGTTCTCCACCGTGCATCGCCTGCCGAGCAGGTTCGGGGCCTGTGCTCAGGGAGCGAGGTCCCCTCTGCATCTGGCACTTTTTCTCCCCAGGTATCCTGTGAAATGTGGCCTGTTCTCACTGGTGCAACTTGCAGAGAAAGTGCACACGTGGTGATACAGATTACACGAGCTGTAGGGAGTTCCCTGCTAAATGCTGTTCTTTAGTGGTCCCGTAGAAGATGGGAGGTTGGCACCACATCGTCTACAAAATGGACTATTTTTATGGGTTGCTGCAGACAAAATTTTATAAAATAAAGGAGAACTTTCTGCTTTTGATTGGAAACATTATTATGAGTATCTCTTGACTGGTCCCTGTTCACTGCTGCTGGGTGGGATTTTATCTGCCTAATTTCTTTTGATGATGAGCGAGCAGAAACCAAGTGCTTTTGTGGAGAGGACTGTGTTTACTTTTGCCAGAGAAACCCTACAATCAGCGTGTCGCTTCTGCGACACAAACATAACCATTGGGATGTAAGTGGAATCGCTGCATTTGCACCGCTGGCTTAATTCACTGTTGTTTCCCAGAGCAGCAGTCCTGTCTTAATGTGCACCCTTGCCTTCTCAGTGTTCTGCACACACAATAGCCTCGCTTATTGCTCTTCAGTATTGATAAGGATTAACTTCCTTTTCTGGTTGTTCCTTTCTCTCTGCAGAGGGAGAACCGTCGGCTCCAAGAAGCAAGCATGAGGCTGGAGCAGGAGAACGATGACCTTGCCCATGAGCTTGTAACAAGCAAAATTGCCTTACGGAATGACCTGGACCAGGTAATGCTAACAGAGATGGGGCACAGCTCAGGCTTGGCAGCACCAGTTCAAGGAGCCCTCTGGTGTGCTCAAGTGAAAGCATGAAGACGACACTGAAAGCATTATTTGTGTCTTTATTTTCCACATGCGTGCAACTGTAGGCATTCGCAGTGGTGTCTTAACAACACTGACTGCACCTTCTCTGTTGTGGATTGTTTCAGAAAACATAAGCCATAACCTTTAGGCAGATAACAAAGAATGAACTTTACTGGAAAAGGTATCATGTACTCCTTGAAAGACTAATGTCAAGGGAAGTTGCCTTGCAGAATGTCTCCTACCTTACGTGGATCTGTTTTTCATAGCAATTTTAGTACAGCCAACAAAATTCAGAGATAGTGAAGTGGCATGGCACCAAAGATTAGAAGGGCTCCTGGGTGTCCTTTGAGAACTGCTTTTGTTTCCTTTGAGGACTGGAACGCGGAGGGCGACAGCCCTTTATCTTGGAGTTGACTGTCAGCGAACTACACGTTCAGCCCTCCTCTTTCTGGAGTGTTTCATGTAGTATGGAGTGTTTCATGTAGTATGGATAAATTCCTTAACAGCTGTTCTTATGGTATTGAACACAGGAGGGCCGTACTCCACCGCACCTTGTGATTAGTCCCTTGCTCAGCGAGGACCCACCGCACCTTGTGATTAGTCCCTTGCTCAGTGAGGACTGCAGCGCCTCTTGTAAAATCTTTTCCTTCGAGGGCTTCTCAATTTGATTTCCCATAGTTACTTTGCTTTCTTTATCGAAACTCAGAATTGTAAACATCATTGACCACAGTTGTGCAATTCATATTCCTGTTTAGTCAGGTCCTTGACAGTTAGGCTGTGCTGATTTGGATCCATGTGATTCCAGAAGTCTGAGCTGTCTCGGTGAGCAAACACAGGCAGAGATGCTCTTTGCACGATGGAGTGGGCGATCTCCTGTGAAGGCCATGTGCAGTGTGTTGAGGTGCTCTGTCTTCCCCAGGAATAGCTGTACCTGGAGCAGCTTTAGGTCTGCTGCTGCCCACGCTTCTTTTTTCTCAGCTCTCATGACAAGGCTGCCAGGCACACATCTCTGCCAGTCCCATTCTTTGCTCTGCTGCGCTTTAGCAGTCTTTCTGTAGACAAGAGTGGCTCCGTGGAGTTTTCCTGCAGCCCACCTCAGCTCCCTGGCACTGAAAGTAAAGCTTTGTGCTGCTGCACACATCTGCAAGGACAGGTGATACCATACACCACTGCAGCTGCTTGGAGAACCTGGAGTGAACACATGAAGGGAGGAAAGATTTGAAGTTCCTCCAAAGCGTATCTTAAACAGGTCTTTCATCAAAAATATCCTTGTCATCCCCAAGTTCTTTTCTTCTAAGATGTCAGTCTTATCAGTTTTCCGTCTTTTCACTGCTTGTTGTCCTTTCTTCCATCCAGCCATATACACACTAAGCAATGCAGGAATCCTCAATCTGTCTCTCAGGCATGGCCCTGGTGTTGCTGCTTCCACTACCCAAAATCGCCACTAATGCCCTCATTAATAATTAACACTGTGGCAGATAGATAAGCTAATACTACCGGTAGTGGTAGAAAAACAAACTGCAACTTGGAGACAAGCTCTGTACTGTTATTTCTTGTCCACAATGTCGTTTCCCCTCCTGTATTTTCAGCAAACTAAGTGTTACTTGCCCCCACCCCTTGCCTGTTGTAGCACGTAGTTACTGAACGAAAGGAGCGGTGTGATGCTGTGTGTGTCTCCCAGCTGGGGAGGTCAACAGAAGATATCCAGACACTGAGAGATACATTCCTCTCCTGGTGATCCGTGAGGATAGTGCTTACAAAAACAAAGTGTTCCCAGGATGTTTCACCAGAAGCTTGGCTCTTCAAAGGAAGGAAAAAATCATATTCTCCAGTCCACACACAGTAAAACAAAGTGTTCCCAGGATGTTTCACCAGAATCTTGGCCCTTCAAAGGAAGGAAAAAATCATATTCTCCACTCCACACACGGTGTCAGGTTTCTCCAGGTAATACTTGCACTGATAAACCATTTTATGTGGTGGTCCTGTTTGTCTCTTTTATACTGGTCTTCACCTGGACCCTTTGTAAGGTACAGTGCAGGCACCTAATGTCTTCTGCAGTATCTGGTTTCCCTGTTCACAGATACAAAAGTGGAATGAGTTACCTGAAGTTACACAGGAGCTAAATCCTGGTGCCCTTACTGAGACTGATATTGTTCCCAACTCCATGCATCATTGTTCGTGTTAGGATTGTGTGAGGACACGATATCTATGCGTACTTGTCATCTGGGCATAGGTAACATTTAACAAAAGAGGTCCTTTTGCACAGTGGTTGAAACGCAATGAAATGACTTAGAAAACAGCTGTGTGGAAAGGGAATTTCATATAAAAACCAGGTCAGATGAGCCATCAGAGGGCAGAAAAAGGCAACGCTAGAACCTGAATCTGCAGTATTTCTGAGCTGTATACACCAGCACGTTTGTGTTGGCGCAGATAACGTCTGATTTTCACCAGCGTTTCTAATTTTAGGCTGAAGACAAAGCGGATGTTTTGAACAAGGAACTGCTCCTGACCAAACAGAAGCTAGTGGAGACTGAGGAAGAGAAGCGGAAGCAGGAAGAGGAAACTGCTCAGGTAAGATGTTCTCCAACTTTTCCCATTTAGCAAGCAAAAAGGTATGCGGAAAAGCATGAATGTATTACAGTTGCAGAAAAGATTTTTGTCTTCAAAATGCAGTTGCAATTAAATTGTGCAATGCCAGGGTAAATTTATTTTAAAAAAAAAAAGTATATTTTTCAGTGTTTTCCTTTACTTGAGATCTGAATGTTCAGTTTTCCGTACCTGATCCTTTTCCCTCTGTTGTAATAATAATTTTCACTGGTGGTAAGCAATCGCATCGAAGGAGACGTGATCAGACCCCTTTTAATTACCTAAACAGAGAGCTGGAGGAGTTGTTGCTGTGTAAGAGACCATTCTGGTCCAGCTGCAGGTTCCCTGAGCTGCAGCTGTGAAGGCTCCATCTGAAGCTGGAACCAACAGCAGAACAGAGTTCAGAGTTGGGAGAATTTTGCTGACTAAACCTGGCCTCACACTCGTTTGCAAAATGTTCATTCATAGTTTTTTAACCCTACGTATCTAACGTGCTGAATACTGACACACAAAAGTATGTTTCAAAAGCGATACCCTGATTTTTATTTTTGCTACTTGACAACAGCGACTACAACAATCAAACGGTGATTCTTTGTGTTTCTCTAAAACGGAGGTTGCCGAGTTCTCTGTTGCTCCCAACAAGGCAGTGGAGGCCTTTTGCCTGCTGAAAGTGCTTTCAGAATGTCGTGGCTTGGAACGGCGGAGGAATGAGTTAGCTGTTTTTAACGCAGTGCCTCAGACCAAAACAGATGTTTTTTCTCCTGTTTCAGAGATGAGAGTGATAGTGCAGAGAGATTCTTCTCCCTGTTCCATCTCCAAACACACCAATAATCTGTCTGCCCATACCTGCTGTGACAGCATGCAGAAAAACAAAACCAAAATCAGTACAAGCCACTTAATAGTAATGCTCTTGTTCTGTGTTCTCTGGACCACACTGTAGCACCATTTAACACTCAGAAAGACAGTTGCCCTGCAGGGGAATTCTCTGTATCAGTGCAGACTTTTTGGTTATGACTGAATATAATAAATATTTGTACGTTGAGTAAATCAGACTTTTGTGTGAAGAACGGGAATTTGGTAAGAAAAAGCTGTATAACTGTTGTAAACACAAAAAGACTTTGGGAGAACAATCTGGTGACGCATTTTGAGAAAGTCTTTCAGTGCACTGCGTAACTTCTCTCCTTCAATTCCTAGCTGAAGGAAGTCTTCAGGAAGCAGCTAGAGAAGGCAGAATCTGAGATTAAGAAAACCACAGCCATTATTGCAGAGTATAAACAGGTACTGTTCTCGAGATGCTTTCTCATGTTTATGTGTCAGCTCCTTTCAACCTGTTCTGAGAGCTGAATTTTCAGAGTTACAGATCTCATCCTCTAAAAGAAGCTACACTACGCTTCAGGCTTTCAGAGAGAAAGCATTGTAACTTGTCATAAATCTTTTTGTGGCTTTCCTAATAGTCTCCTAATTTAGGGAATCAGAAATAACCTTTCAGCTAATTTTAGTACTGTAGGGCAAATGCATCTTTGCTCTGTGATGTAACACAGTGTAATCATTAGAAACCAATTAATTCATAAAATGTTCCTGTCTCTGTGTTCAGGTTCTGCATTGAACATTGCCATTTTTTTCAGCCTCATTATCAGCAGCAATGGATTTGTTAAGGAGGAATGCATATACCTGAGTGAAACAGAATTTAAGAAATGTTGGCTCTGACAAAAATCATTGTTAAAAAGTACAGGTTATATTTTAGTATAGTAAACTTTAGCTAAGAGACTGCTTTCTCTGCTCCAGATTTGTTCCCAGCTGAGTACCAGGCTGGAAAAACAGCAAGCAGCCAGTAAAGATGAACTGGAAGTTGTGAAGGTGAGAAGGATGCCTCGACATATGGGATGTTTCTAGTGCAACTATTGCTAAATGCCAGGGGTGCAGAACAAAATGTGAATTGAACGTAACAAGCAGTGCCCACCCAGCTGCACTCATAGCCCCACATGCATTTTTCATGGGATGCAAACGATTAAAGGGTTTATTTCCTTTCATGGTTCTTTGTCTTGTATCAGACAGGTTGAAACTCTCAAACCAAAGTGCATATAGTACTTGGCTTTTTTTTTTCCTGCCAAAACATATACTTCTGGCAAAAAGGTGCAGAGAGACAGTATTTAGTTGGATGTTTTGAGTAAATGAAAAAAAAATAAGGCTCTCTAGAAGAGAAAACACATTGCTTCTCCAGTGTGCACAGTGGAGGGGTTGGAACTGGCTGAATTGGACAATGTCTCTATTTGGGATTCTGTAATTTAAGCGGAGTTGGTTTAAGCAATTGGCACAGCTTGGGCCATCCCCAGAATTTCTATGGCAGTTCCTCTTCCTTCTCTAAACCCCTTTACCAGGAAATCTGCACTAGAGGTAAATGTTTTCTGACCAAGTAATAATTCCATCCCTCTGCTTAGTCACTACTGAGTATGCAGAATTTTTTCCTTCTGCTATAGTTGTTTCCTCAACTAGAACCTTGTAGTATTCAAGCTGAACCTGATTTGTTGCTTTTTAGTCACTTTTTTATGTTATTGATTAAAAAAAAAATAATTCTAGGATTGATGTTTCTGTAATCTGCTGAAATAGTTCAGTATCCCATTTTAGTTTGCACGAGCCAGGCCAGCTGTGCCACATCTTTGGCCACGAGCAGCTGGTTCACCTCTCCAGCCAGCAGGAGAACCTTACTGTTGATGGCAAAAGGGGCCATCTCCTATGACGCCAAACAAGCACTGGCAGGACAGCATTGGCCCTGGCATGAGCACAGGCTGCTTGCCTGCTTCTGGAAACGTGGAAAAGCTACCTGGCGTTCTTTAAAATGTCACAACCTGTGTTAATCTGGTCAAGTGCTTTCACGGAAGACGACAAGTCCCTAGAGTGTAATTTACTCTTCGGAATTGTGCTGGCATAAATACTCTAAAATATGACAAAGCTTTGGTAGCAAGAGGACTTGAGGAATTCTAATCTAGGAGCAAAGTCTCTCTGCTTAGACAGAGCATGCTAAGTAGATTTTAGGATTTTTTATACTGGTTAATATACCCTAGAAATTCGTTCATAAACTTCTCAGGTTCTTCTCCTGTCAAATACAAAAACTGCAGTAGTAGGTAGTTTGAGTATTACTGACAGAAAAGCAGTCTTAACATAAAAATGGCTCTTCCAAGAAGCAGAGCGACTCCTACAACATGGATTAAAAATGATCTTTCTGGGTATTTCAGGGTAAAGTGATGGCCTGCAAACACTGCAGTGAGATTTTCAGTAAGGAGGGGGCCCTGAAGCTGCCTGCGGTAAGCACGGAGAATAAAGGCATAGAAACAGATGATGAGAAGGATGCACTGAAGAAGCAGCTGAGAGAGATGGAGCTGGAACTTGCACAGACCAAACTGCAGCTTGTGGAAGCCAAGTGCAAAATTCAGGTACGTGGAATCCAAGTACAGCAGGGCAGTCTCCTTAACCTCCTTGTGCTCAGTCCAAAATAATTCTGAATCATGCAAAAAAGGGAAGATATACCTGAACCCTTGTGAACTTCCAGAACAATTTTGTGTGTTAAAAAAAAAAGAAGTGGTTTTCGTTTGTATATTTAAATGGCTTCTGCTGTTTCTGCAGTTTCAATCTGTCTTCTCTCCCCAGTGCCCAGGAGGTTGCAAGGAAAGCACTGGATTGCAGGGACTGAGTTTGAAGATGCTTTTTTGTTAGTTGGATTTTGATCAATTCTGACTGTTCTGCTTTCTTAGGAGCTGGAGCACCAGAGAGGAGCCCTTATGAATGAAATCCAAGCTGCCAAAAACTCTTGGTTTAGCAAAACCCTGAACTCTATCAAAACGGCCGCAGGCACGCAGCCCCCGCAGCAGCCTCAGCCGCCCCTGCCACCCAAGGAGGGCAGCACATAGTTCCAGCCAGACCCATACAGAGCACAAAGACCACCGCAGCTGAAAGCCTGGGGCATTCTTCCAGTGGTCTCTCCTCTTGGGGAAAGGACAAAAGGCAGGAGTGCAGGCTTGAAGTGAAATTCTTCGGTGTTTTTCATTCATTCTGATGTGACCCTTTTCAAAGGAGGGGGGGGAAAAAATTACTTCCTGTTTTATGTTGAATTCTTACTTCCCAAACTGCCTTGCTGAAAGCCACGTTCTGATACCTTCATACTTTTACACTTTATTTTATATGACTAGATGTTAAATAAATACTTGCAAAACTAGGTCTTTAATACATGACTAATTATTCAAAATTATTTTTATCTCGCGTAGAAGGTTTTTTCTTCTTCTGGAGGAAGAAAGAGAAAGGAAAATGTAAAGTACTGAAGCATAATCTCTTTGTAGAAAGCACAGTGTAATAAGTACTGGTGTGTGTGCGGGTGTTTAGGATAACTTGCGCCCTGGGACCATCTCAGAAGTTTACCGCAGCGACTGCGTCCTGCAGAGAAGCACTTTTTGTAAAGCTTAGGCCATAGCAAAGATAGTCTTGTGCTCTCTTGGCACAATCGTTCATGAGCTTCCCAGATAATTTCTTAGTTTTGATTGTTTGTTTTCTTCAGAAATGCAAGTAGTGCACTTCTTTGTAGCACCGTTGTTTAAAGGCTGTTTACAGCTGAACTGGAATTGAACGTGAAGTTACCTAGTTCCCTTTTTTGTTTCATGTTTACACTAAGAATTCCAAGAAATAATTCCTTCCACTGGGATAAAGGGAAAACTGTTCAACATTGATTTGATGTTTTTGCTGAGAAGCAGAGTGAAGACCTTGCATAGTTGTTGACCTTTTGTAAATCCTGTGAAATAAGGGGTAGGTTTTATGAATAAAAGTAATGAAAATCTTTCCCTGGGTCTATATTCAAATTCTGAATTTGACACAGAAATGAGGTAATAAAAACCCCAAAAGGCTTGTGCTGCACTGATGAATAAAACATCACAGAAGCAAGATCTGTTTGCCAGAAGTATTTGGTTAGGAAATGCTACGTTGGTATTACGTGTTTTTACAAAAACAGTCCTTTCAAGTGGAATACAAAACTTAGACTTTCCCGTGGGGTAGACTTCTCTGATGATTCCCAAACCTGTCTGGTTGGTTTATATCTCTTAAGGTAAGAAAATTCAAGAGCATTTGTTTTGACTGAACATAAAGTGTTTATAGAAATACTTATTTCATGGAAAATTAAACTATTGCTTGAACTGATGGAATATTTTTTTAATTATACCTGTCATGTCAGAAGATGGTCTTGCAGGTAAATATTGTTGCTGAACTAAAGGTTGTGTATTAATTGTTCCATTTACAAAGTTGTTCCAGGGACATTAGTTCTGTTTTCATCTTTTTTTTTTTAATTCTAAGGAATGCCATATCTTGTCAGTTTTGTACAATAAAATTTAATGATACCCATCTTGTGCTTTGTTGTCAAGCAAAATTGTGAATTATTTTAAACAGGGTAGTACAAAATTAATGTTACCTGTGCCAAAGGAATGATTCTGAAAGGCAGTCAGCTGTTTGAAGGAGAGATCAAAATAGAATTGCTATCCTGACACAACTATCCTGCAACAAAATTCTCTCTTCTAAGAGTAAGGGGTTAAAAAATTTTAATATTTTAAAATGTACCTGCAAGAACAGTGATTATCTGGAAATATTAAAACAGCGAGAAAAAAGCAGAGAAAAGCAGAAGTAATTTCTTTTGCAAATACTAACAAAGCTCTTTTTCCCTGGTCACTTTCTTGCTAATAATATTTGCATAAATGTTTCCATTCTCGGGACTGTCTGCACCTAGCATCAGTCATTCACTCACCACTGCGCTTCACACTCGAAATGAACCGCGTGACACTGATGGTTTGACAGGTGTCCCAGTTTCTCATTCATCTTAAATCACACTGAGAAGTGGATTTAAAACCTTGATTGGAAAAATGCAGTAATAATAACATTAAAAAAATGCTTAAGACTGTGATTCCCTGAGCAGCTGAGTTAATGTAACAGCTCACTGCTGCTCAAAGATCTCACCCCTCCAACTTCCCCTTGTACAGTCATGTCCCTGTCCTTGTTATGGCACTTACTGGAGATGATTAAAAATAAACAGATGGGGCTGGATTTTTGCCCCTCTGGTTAGTCTTTTGCCAAGTTAATGATTTAAATCATCTCAAAGGGCCCAATGAGTGCCAGTGGGTCATGGGAGTGGGACCCCCCAGCTCATCAAAAAAGAGCTGTTAAAGAAGCCCACCACGTTTCATGGAACTAGCTTGGCCACAACATCATCATTCTCAGTGTAGCAGCTCTCTGACTTTGTGACAAGAACACGTTTGCTACCTGCTAGCTGTGATGATTTCAGACCCTTGTAGGACGGAAGCTGGCTGACATCAGCACAAAAAGTTTCAGAAGGCAATGGCTGCATGATGACTCTTGGCAATGACGTAAAGGCAGTGAACAATTTTCACCTTCCATCTGTAGATCCAAGGTAGCGTTTGTAGCAGTGGCATTTGGAAGAGTAATATTTACGTGGGAACGGTGTCTTCTCAAAACTTCTGAAAGAATAAGAAAATAGCCCTATGGCATTATCTTGATGAATAAGGGTAGTTATATTCTGAAAGAAGGAAAGGAGCAAGACTGCAGGACCAAAACAAGCAAGCTAAAATTCTACCTGCTGACTTTGGGGAAGTTACCTTCCCGTGAGCAAACAAATCTGGGGTTTAACTAACCCTTTCAGCAGTGTGTGACAGAGCCACGTGCACACAGATCCCAGGCAG